CCGGGCCCGCCCGCGGTTGGGTGGGGGGGGCCGCCCAAAGCCTCAGAGGCCAAGCAGCACAGCCACAGCACAGCCTGGTGCCAGAGACGTGTTCCAATGGCCAGGTCCATACCCCACTGATCTGGGTGGGGCTGACCCCAACACACCACTGCACCACTGGGGAGGGACAAGGGCCAGAGTGGGGCAGAAATGGAGATGATAGATAGATAGATAGATAGATAGATAGATAGATAGATAGATAGATAGATAGATAGATAGATAGATAGATGTGGTGAGGGGTGATGGATAGAGGGATACAGGTGTGTAGGGGAACAGATAAAGTGATACAGGGTGTGTAGGAGGGTGGATAGGACGATACGGGGTTTAGGGGGATGGATAGTGTGATACGGGGTGTGTAGAGGGACGGATAGGGCAATACGGGATGTGGGGGGGCAGATAGGGAAGTACTGGATGTAGAGGAATGGATAGTGCGATACAGAGGGTGTAGGGGGTGGATAGGGTGACACAGGGTGTAGAGGAATGAATAGTGCGATATGGGGGGTTTAGGTGGGCAGATAGGGCAATACAGGGTGTAGGTGGATGAATAGAACAATATGGAGTGGAGAGAGGTGGATAGGGCGATATGAGGTGTAGGGGGCGGATAGGATGATACAGGATGTAGGGGGATGTATAGTGCGATATGGGGGTGTAAGTGGGCAGATAGGGCGATACAGGGTGTAGGTGGATGAACAGAACGATATGGAGTGGAGGGAGGTGGACAGGGCGGTACGGGGTGTAGAGGCTGGGTAGGGTGGGAGGGGGTGGAGAGGTGGATAGGGCGATATGAGGTGTAGGGGGCGGATAGGATGATACAGGATGTAGGGGGATGTATAGTGCGATATGGGGGTGTAAGTGGGCAGATAGGGCGATACAGGGTGTAGGTGGATGAACAGAACGATATGGAGTGGAGGGAGGTGGACAGGGCGGTACGGGGTGTAGAGGCTGGGTAGGGTGGGAGGGGGTGGAGGGGGGGGTGGGCAGGGCAGTGCGGGGGGCAGCAGGATAATAGATGGGCGATGGGCTATTTGGCGTAGTTAAGGCTCATACAGAGACTCAGAAATCAATCTGCCGCCCTGCTCAGCGCAAGTGCGAGCAGGGGGGCGGGGAGGCCGTGTCCGCACAATATCCCTGGGTGCTGGTTTCAAGCACCCTCCTGCTTTGTGCTTGTTCCTGTGAAGCCCTTGAGAGTCTCTGGTCTGGTCCCTGAGCCTGCCAGCTCCCTGCCCGCCCCCAGGCAGCTCAATCTGTGCTGCTGCCCGGCCCCGGCTGAGCTCAGGTGGCTAGGGCCAGACTTGTCCCATGGCTCTGTGGCCTTTGGGTCCTGGCCCAGCCTTGGGAGATGGGGGGCAGCTGGGTTTCATGACCCTGATCCAGGCTGTGCCCCGGGACCCACCCTGTGTGTCACACCCTTATAGCAGAGTGTGGGGCAGACCCACGGACCAGATCCCTGCTGGGGAGTCAATGGGGCCAGATCCCCTGCCCTGGCCCAGCAGGGAGCAGGCGGTTCCCAGGTGGCTGCCGGGGGAGCTCTGGGGGAGCGAAGGGGGCAGACCCACGGACCAGATCCCTGCTGGGGAGTCAATGGGGCCAGATCCCCTGCCCTGGCCCAGCAGGGAGCAGGCGGGTCCCGGGGGGCTGCCGGG